CGGGCCAGGCGGCGGGCTTTTTGGACAGGCCTAGTTGTGTTTGAATAGAGAACAAGGGGAAGAGAGAGCATATGCAATTTGTGTTGTTTAGAGTTGAGAAGGAAATAAAAAAGAAGCTACATGACAAATAGATCCATTTAAAGGAATTATACATTTAAAAGTTTTTTCTCTTGGGGGGTGTTAGTCACTTAGAACTTAAAATTAGAAATGAGATAATATGTGGGATAAGTTTTTAAGGTGTTAGTCACATAGAACTGAAACTAAAACAAAATTTTATAGTGTTAGTCAAGTAGAACTCTAACAAAACTACAATTGAGATAATGTTACAAAATTATCCTACCTTTTTTATTTTTCTATACAAAAATGAGAGCTCTAGTCTCTCAAATTATTTTAAGTTTTAGCTTGAAACTATGTGGTAAAAAACTTGAACTCATATTTATTTTGTTATTTTTTATATTTATTTTTTTTCTTTACTTCTTTCGTATTATGGTTATCACCATCATTAGACCATCATTATAATAACAATTGTCAATATCTTATAGTTTAACTAAAAGTTATTTAATAGTAAACAACATTCTTGCAAACAATTATCAATCAACAATAGTAAGTTTAAAATACATAAATAGTATTTATATCTTCAAAATGCATAAATATATATTTTATGATTATAAAAATTTATCCCATGTTATTTTATCAAAATATCCCGCTTCACAAAATTATTCCTATTTATCCCACTAAAATATTCCACTAGCAAAAAATTATTCCACTTTAATAATTGTCCCATTTTGCATGAAAATGTCACAATTGACTAACACCCCTAAGGATATAATTTTGAAATAATGTAAAATTTTCACTTAAACTCAATCCCTCTCCTCCCAATCCATCCACTTTAGGAGTGTTAGGAAAATGAGTGGATTTGCTTATTTTAACCCTCCGATCTCTTCCCTTGTTGATTAAATTTTTTAAATAGAACACAACGTTTAGAGGGTTAGCATCCTAACAATCTCAATTTCTCACCCTCCCTCTAAGAAATATGTATCCAAACTCGAATGATTTAGCGTTATTTGGTGATATTTGCTAACATGGCTAATTGAGAATAGACCCCCTGTAGCAATCACCCAATTGCAAAGAGACCCGTGTATTGTTATTTGTTGTGATCTCCTATAGTTTTACTTGTTGCAAATAGATCCCTGAATAAATTTTTTTTTACGCTTGAAATTGTTAAAAATGTTTGAGAAGGTGAATAGACCCCTTATCGTTCTATTGGTGAGGATAGACATCGTTCTATTGATGAGGATAGACAGCCAAACTATTGTTCGAAAACTTTTAAAAGAGTCAAAAAAAATTTTACTAAGAGGTAGTATTCGCACTTGCGCCAATACTACAAAGGGTATTCGAAACAAGTAAAATTATAGGGGGTCTATTCATAATAAATAGAACTATATGAGTTGTGTTTACAATTGGGTGACATCAAGGGAGTTTATTCACAATTAACCCCTACTAATTTCCATGTAAACCGTCCGGTACTTTTTGTGAATAGGGTTAACTGCAGATACATTCCCTATATTGTCCATAACATTTTTATTAGCATTTACACTGTTAATATTCGAATAAAGCACTCTCTCATTTATTTTTATTATAACGAGCGTATTTTCAACCCCTAGAAAAAAGTAGCAAGTATGGCACGCTCAAGGTTTAGGAAATTTTTGTTTCCACATATTTGATGTTATATGTTACCCACATGAAAAATACAACTAAATTATGTACAATAAATCTGTTTGGGCATTAAATATAGTTAAAAATATAGACATATACAATATTATATCAATAGAAATAAAAATATAGACATATGCAATAAATTTGTTTGGGCATCTCTAAGGTTTTTGTTACACGTAACAGATTTAAAAATAACTCTCACTCAAAATCTTACTTATTAGCAATGATATTAAACGAATTGCATGATCAAATGAGACTTAATTTTTATTTATTTCTGTGTATCTCCCTATCTCCTAATGAATGTTTATAAGCACCCATTTAAAAAATCATATGAAAAATAGCAACCAGCAAGCAACGAAATTGATAAAAACAATTTCTTTAAACTTGTGGACCCTATTTTCAAAAGCGATATTATAAAATCCTCGTAACAATTCATGGAACAAACGATTACTTATCTTTTTTATTCTCAATGAATATTTTCCATGAGTATATGCTAGCAAGTGAAGAGAAAATGGAGAATTCTAGGGGCCATAGATATATAATTGGTGGGGCCCATCATGTTGGATGTTTTCTGTTGGTCGCGCCATCTGCGCGTGAAAAGATGCGGAGACTATTGGGCCATAATTTGTCTCTTTTCCAACATTGGTTTGGGCCCTTGGTTTCTTAAGTTGCTGAAATTGCTTTTGTCACTAGAATTCCAGTGGGAGTTTAGTCAACTCAAGTAATTCTAGAAATGAAACGTTGGACCTTTACATATTCCGTGATAAGTAATTTCCTTACGTTATATTTCGGAGTTTAAAAATAGGGAAAATTATGTCTAGGCCCTAATTATTGGAAGCTCATGTGACCTGACCTTTTGTATTTTGGCCTATGTGATTCAGCCCCATACACACACAGTATTTGTGTTAAGGCCCAAAGTAGCGGACCA